TAAGCTCAAAATCACTAACACATGAAGGCATAAATATGTTAATAAACATAGTAATAGTTACAAAATATAGGACAATTTGACAAATAAATCAACTAGAGTTAATTTATATTTGTGCCATATTGATCCCTCCCCCACCCCAAAGCGTTGCAAATAGAGAATTCCTAAGAATGTTACATAAAACCCATTTGAATTTTGGTATTCCTTGATGACAGAATTTGACTTCAGTGGTGGCAGGAAGAATAGGGTTTCAATTAACTGTTTTCTCTCTCTTTTTTTTCCCCTAATAAATTCATGATATGGAATCCTATTCGTAACTGTGTAGAGGGCGCCTGGGTGGCTCAGTTGGTTAAGCATCCACCTTCGGCTCAGGTCATGATCCCACGGTCCTGGGATCCAGTCCCGCGTCAGGCTCCCTGCTCAGTGGGGAGTCTGCTTCTCCCTCTGCCCTCCCCACTGCTTGTATGCTCTCTCTCTCAAAAATAAATAAATAAATAATCTTTAAAAAAATAACTGTGTAGAATTCAGATACTGACAGTATACTGGAAATATGTCTTCTTTTTACTCTAATGTGCATAATCTATATTTGGATTCAGTTTAACTCAAATTTAAGTAAATTAAGAAGATTTAATTTACCCCTGAAATATGTTATTTGAAACAAACAAAACCCATAGAAAGAGAGATCAGATTTGTCCTTACTAGAGGTGGAAGGGAGTGGGGAGTGTTGGAGGAAGGTGGTCAAAAGGTACAGTCTTCCAGTTGTAAACTAAATGAGCACTAGGGATATACTGAACAACATGATGACTAGAACACTGCTGTATGATACACAGGAACATTGTTAAGAGTAAATCCTAAGAGTTCTCATTACAAGGAAAACATTTTTTTCCCTTTATTCTTTTCTTCTTTCTTTTCTTTCTGTTGTATCTACATGAAGAAGATAGATGTTAGCTGAACCTATTGTGGAACTCATTCACATTATGTGTAAATCAGACCATCAAGCTGTATGCCTTACACTTAAACAGTGAACTTTGTCAATTATGTCTCAATAAAACGGGGGAGGGGAATCTAAGCAAATACACACATCTTTCTTGAAGAAAGGCAACATATAAAAATATGTTATTGAAACATTTGAGTTCATGAAAGGCTGGATAATACATTATTTTAAGTTTATATAAAATATATAAAGCTTCAGTATTCATGATTTTCCTTTACTGTTCTAATTCCACAATTCCACATCTTTTTTCTTTTTTCTTTTTTTTGGGGTCAAGACTTGCGGGGGGACCTGTTATTAACGGTAAATTTTCATATCATTGTATGACACTATTGTGACTCACTCATTCCCTTTAAGTGGAAAAGGGAACAAGTAAAAGAAGCATGGATATTTGAATCTTGTCAGAAGTACTAAAGAAAAATTTATGCAAATTTAGAAAGACACAAATAACTGCAAAGACATGGAGAAATATCATGTGAATATCATCATAGGATGGCATTGTGATGCTGTGCTTCAGGTAGCTGACAGTTACTACAGCTTCCATAATGCTCATTGGAGGCAGAATTTTTAAGAGCGTTCTGACCCTGGTGAGCTGAAGGGCTAATTTGAGAAAGAGATGGTGTGTGAACTGTGGCCTTTTATAGGCTGAAGACAGGGTTTTGTTAAGTAGATGCTGATTGAATGCATGACTTGCGCTGTTGGATAAAGAAATGGGGGCACTGCCTTTTTTCCCTGGAGAAAGCAAGGAAGTAAAGACACTGCGCGCCTTATAGAGAGAGCACACATGTACCCCCTGAATACTGGATTGAACTGTTGTTGACATCAGGTTCAAGTTGTATGCCAGCGTAAGGGAGGATCTGGGAAGAGCTGTAGGAAAAGATTGCTTTACGAAGAAACCTGGAATATCAGTAAATGTACTGTTGGATTTTATTTGAAGGGTTAGAGAATAAAGGAGTAATATGAAAAAAATTACCCACATCAAATAAATGTTGTTTAAGCACCCTGATAAGCCTTGCAGTACACGAATGAGAAACCCAGACCCTGCCTTCAGGGAGATTACATTTTCAAGGAAAGTCACAGGACAGCGTGATGAGTGCCGTAGTGGTTTAGAAATGTGCAGGAACTTGCGTGCACAGTGGGTCCCCTGACCAATGAAAATTGCCCATTTTTTGGATCCAGTTTTCCTCACCTTCAATTCCATTCTTCCTCCTAATTATCATTTTTAAAAGTAACAATTTTCAGAAGTTAAAAAAAAAAACCTAAAGGATTATCTAGTTTCTTGGTACTCAGAGGGTGGTCCATGAAATATTGACATAGCATCAGGTGGAGCTTCCTAGAAAATGCAGAATCTTCCTAAAAATGGGCTGCACCCCAGACCTACTGAGTCAGAACCTACCTTTTAACTATGCCCCTCTCCCCTGTGATTCTTTTTCTCATTCAAGTTGGAGAAGCACTAACTCATTCCCCTTCTCTCCAGCAGGTTTTATAGATGAAGGGATGAAGACAGATTGTGCCCTTTAAGTCCTCTGCACAGTAGCAGAGCTGATATTAAAACTCAGCCCATCTGTTTACTGATAGAGTCTAGAATGTCTTTTCTAATATCTCTGTTATTTCTTATCTACTCCCCTCTACCTTTTTACTCTTCCGTTGGCCTCTGTTAGTGTTGCATATTGTCAGATCTTCAGCTTCTTACTCATGTCTCTTCCTCTCACTGTCTTTCTTAGTTCTGTCTTTAAACTTCTCTGTTGAAGGAGAGAATGGCATGGGCTAATCACACTATACATCAAAAAGGATGAGCATTTTTATTTATTCTTGATTTTGGGAAAATTTTTTACCTGTTTCTCTCATTTTTTTCAACTTGTTGCTCAGAACTTACTTTGAAGTCAGCAGGAATTCTGTGTGTGATTAAGAGTGATAGAATTGGGGCACCTGGGCGGCTCAGTTGATTGAGCATCCGACTCTTGATTTTGGCTCAGGTCATGATCCCAGGGTCCTGGGATCGAGCCCCACATTGGGCTCCGTGCTCAGTAGGGAGTCTGCTTGAGGATTCTCTCTCTGCCTCTCCCTCTGCCCCTCCCCCACTCGCACGGGCTCTCTCCTTTCTCTCTAAATAAATCTTTTTTAAAAAAAGAGTGTGATATAATCTGTGATATTAGAAATTAGAATCTCCTTACTGATGAATTTATATTCCTTTCTTTGTTACATGGGATTATTTTATAACAGAATCCTTTTGCTCTTTGTATCAAACGCATGGAAAAAACTGTCTACCCTCTAGTTTCTGGATAGGAAGAGGAAGCCGCAGCTACTCCTCTAGTTCCTGAAGTGAGTAGAGCAGGGCTTCAGGATTTAGGAGTTTGTCTTAAGTTTTTTTCCTATAGAAAATAAATATCTAAGTAGATAAATACCCCATGTTTTAAGGTGGACTCTGTCATAGAGAGATACATAGCAGGATAATATGACAATAATAAAGAAAAGCAAACAATCAGTGATAGGACCATAGTGGTACAATGCCTTCAACAAAAGTCAGCCACTCATCTTTTAAGCCACACCCTCTCATAAGAGGATTATTCTCTCTTGTCATGTAAGTGTTTTAGTTTATTTTTAACTCTGGAATATGTTTTGATTTGAGTGACAGAACCATAATTTCCATGAATAGATAGATAGTAAGCCTCTCCTGTAAACTCTGAAATAAAACCAGCTTTTGTTTTTCTTCCAAGTCACTAGCGCATCTTTCTAACAACTCTTATTTTATAGAAACATAGTTAATGTCACTTCCTGACTTTGGAGACTGTGTGATTAAACATTGTTCCATTTCTGTTTCCTTCCTTTTATCTTATTTTCTATCAATAGTGTATAGAAACAGACTAATTTTAAGTAAGATATTTTGAAACCGAATTATCTAATCCAGAGCTATTCTGCATATATAGTTTTAGTAAAGCTGACAGTTTAAATGGTGGGACATTGTAATGAGAAATTAAGTTAAATTCACTTAGGCTAGGTCTTAGGAACTGACTGAAAGGTACGATTTTTTGTTGTTGTTGCTGTTTTAAAAATACATTCTTTTCCTCAGCATAGAACATAGAAGTGTTTTTGCATTACCAAGCATAAACTAGACATTAGATTCATAACCTATAAAATGCTGTTTAAGTTTCAGAAATATAAATTTCAGTACCTTTTTATAATGTATTAGAAAACAAATTTTTTTTAACCCTATATATATATTTCATTATCATTCTTCTCTTAGAAATGTTACTTGTGGTGGAACTCTTATTACAAAATTGATTCAAGGTTGCATATTTGAATATTAAGGACAGTTGACTCTTTTAAATGAAATATTTACACACATATGAGGTAAATGCTTATAGCTTCAGGGGAAAGCACATAAGGTGGTTATATTCATGGCTAAATAGGGTCTTGCTATCAAAGAAAAAGAAAAATGTCCTGAATGTGATGATTTCCATTTAAAGAAATCATAGAACTGTAATCCCCCTAATTTTTACCCCAAATATAACTGTACTCTTGTCCTCAGTATCCAAAAATATTCCAGGGAATGGCTTCCATTGCTCTACCTCTTCAGTTTACTATTCTTCTCCTGCTTTAGGCAAGGAGGGCGCAGCTTCCAAACTGTACTGATATATTTCACATGTTTAATATGAAAGACAAGTTTCTCCTTAAAATATTTATTTTCTGTCTATGTAGTCTTTCATCAACTTTTCGTGCCCAGCTTGTCCTATATTTATAGCAAGGTTTATTTCTGGTCTTTGTTCTTTAGGTCTCTATAAAACTTAATGTGTGCTGTATGTGATGAAACATTATTTTCAAAAGCTACTCACAAGAATTGGTCTCATATCTTTGGTTTTAATGCCATGTATTTTTGTCATGACTCAAAGAAAACTGACCTGCATTTGGTCAAATTAGGAAAAAAGCTAAGTTGAAATATTATAATTCCTAACACGTTCATTCCAAACAGATTTATTGTTTAACGAATTTAATGTTATTTTGTTCTCTCTAGATAAACGTGTGGAGAATTGGCCTCTGATGCAGTCTCCATGGCCTACACTTTGTATAAGTACGCTTTATCTCCTGTTCGTGTGGCTGGGTCCAAAATGGATGAAGGACCGAGAACCTTTCCAGATGCGTTTAGTGCTCATTATCTATAATTTTGGAATGGTTTTGCTTAACCTTTTTATCTTCAGAGAGGTAGGTTTAACTAAAGTCACCTTATTATTCCCCAGGGTTATTGAAAATTAAGAAATTAGAATATGTAAAAACCATCATTGTATATTGTATCCCAAGATAACTGTTGTCTACTCTAAAAGTAAATTTTACTTTATTGACATTTTTTATGTTTGGATAACAAAAATATGAAACATGTGGAAAGTATAGGACAGTTGTTTAAAATTGAATGTTGAAGCAGACACACTAGATTCCAAAATAACCGTTATTAACTGACAGTAGAAGTTATTTAACTTTTCTGAGACTTATTTTCCCCATCTGTAAACTGGGGATAAACACCTGCCTTCTAGATCATAGATAAGTGAAATAATTTTTTCATAGTGTTTGGCACATATTAAGTAGTCAGTAAATAGTTGTAGCTCTTTATTTATAATTCTTACTCAGCAGTTTCAGGTTTGGTCATATTTTGATCAAAATATGCAGATGTAAAATACTGATTTCAAGTTAAATCCTATTACATAATATTACAAATTGTATTTTGGGTTGGAACAAAAATGAGTTAACTGTTACACACTGTTGCTGCTAATCATCTTGTACTTTTCTGGACTCCAGCAAATTCTCCATGACATTCTGAAAAGAAATCCTAAAGGTTAGATTGACATAGGCATTTTTTTAAGTTGTAGGAGTGGAGGGAATTTTTTTCCCAAGTGGAAGGAATTTGTTTCCCAAGAGATTCCTCATTAAAATTCTGTATGAACCCAGAGAACTGGGCTGGTGATGCTAGGAAAATAAACACTACTCTCCTTTAAAAAAATCTGTAATTGACAACTTAGTCTATAGAATCTCAACTTCATAAAAACTTTAATTTATTTGGATACTTTGACCTCATTTGTTAGCTATAAACCACACTGGATCAAGAATAGAAATCAATGCACCTGTTGGATCTGAGTCATGGTTAATCAAAATTTCTCTTGATATAATAAAGTAGATAAGAGTTGAAGTCTCAGCCAAGAGTTACATGTGATTTTTAATTTAGATTTCAATTTTAGAATAAATTGACACACAGCAAATTTTAGAAACTCCCAACACATTAAATGTTTAATGAATTTCATTTTTTTATATAAAATTGCTCTTTAAAATAATTTGAAAGGTTGCATGTTGTATTTAGTGTTTTTAAATTCCATATCTACTAAAACTTTATTTTAAATATTACTCCCCTTTTTTCCAGTTATTCATGGGATCATATAATGCAGGATACAGCTATATTTGCCAGAGTGTGGATTATTCTGATAATGTTAATGAAGTTAGGGTAAGTACATTCAAAATACCATTCATCAGTAGAAGTGGGTTTAATTTTATAATCCCCACTCTGAAAAACATACTTTCATAGAGTGGTATAAGTGTATAGGATTGTGCTGAGTCAGTAAAGCTATGCTTTTCTTTAAAAGTACATAATTGAAAATGTTTTCATAGCTATAGTGTCCTATTTGATTGTGTGAGAGTGAATATGTGTTGGATTACTAGAATGCAGTACTTAAGAACAAAAAATTTCCACGTTTAGTGTAAAGATGATATTTTGGATTTTTGTGTTTTGGGTCAAGAATAGAAACTCATAGAGTCTAATTCATTTGTTAAGAGTCTGAGGAAAAACAAATGTTGGATAAACTATGTAATGTTTAGTAAGTTAAGCATAGCACAATTTGTATAGGTATAAACTCAGTTTTTATTATATTTGCAGAAAAATAAACCATTGGTAATATAATGTTATATTTTACTTTCTAGTCACCCTTGACATACAAAGATTTATAAACAGATTTCAGTTATATACTGTCTTTGTTGTTTGTACATAGGACACACATCATAGAAAGTAGGTAACATAAAAAATGTTGAGTTTAGGTTACTCTTATAGTAGGGTTCTTGTAAAATATTTTAAAACATTTACAGAGGTCACCTCTCACTGGATCCTTGGATCCTTAATCTCAGCAAGTAACGTAATCTTTCTGTACCATCTGGTGTCTTAATTAGAGCCTAGGAAAAGAAAGGACTTATTCATGTAAGTAGGATTATATTTATGACCTAGGAAATATTTGTTATTTTTGTTTGTTTGTGTGTTTTAATTTACCACTTTAAAGATTTTACTGCCTAATACAAAGTACTGTGGTTAGGTATTTATTTTGTTGCACATGTTAAAGTGAGAGACCAAAGCTAAGAGACCGGTTGCTACACGAACATACTTGCAAGAATATCTGAGGTATAGTATAGGCTAAGCATGAACAACTGAAATACCTTTACAAAGTAAATATCTCGATTTTTCTGCCACACTGAAAAACATAGCAGTGTGAAGGTATTTATAGCTCTGTGTTCAGCAGTTTGGTACTTCATGACATCTATCTATGTAAAAGACTAAAAATTTTCCCTAAATCATTGCCACTGGGTAAATATAGATTTGGACTCTTTCTTTCCCATTTTTTCCCCATGGATAGATGCCTAGGTTTCGTACCTACTTATGCAAAAATGATTCCATGCCTTGTACATTTTGTGCAATAAAGATTGTTTAGGACTAACTTAACAATAAATAGAAAACCATATGATAGTGTCACTCTGGTATTTATAACATGCTTTTCCTTTCTTTTTATAGATAGCTGCTGCTCTGTGGTGGTACTTTGTATCTAAAGGGGTTGAGTATTTGGACACAGTGTTTTTTATCCTGAGGAAGAAAAACAACCAAGTCTCTTTCCTTCATGTATATCATCACTGTACAATGTTTACATTGTGGTGGATTGGAATTAAATGGGTCGCAGGGGGACAAGGTGAGTATTTTGGGACATATCTGCATATATTAAATTATGTATATGTGTTGGGTGGAAAAGTAATGAGAAGCTGGAAATTTGACTTGGTCTTTAACTTGCTTGCATAGTTAATTATTTCTGTGTTAATTTCATTTTAAAGAAATATGAAGGAAAAAAAGAAATTTGAAGAAAGCAAAGTTTTGGCTTTTTATCTGTGGCTACTTAAATACCTAAAGATTTGCCTCAGAGATAAGCATAAACTAATCTTAAATGTAGCAAATAATTTTTGATGGGGAGCAGTTATAGTGGTTCTGACTCAAAGGATACTGAGTTAGGGGCACGTGGGCGACTCAGTTAAGCATCTGACTCTTGATTTCAGCTCAGGTCTTGATCTCAGGGTCGTGAGTTCAAGCCCTGCATTGGGTTCCACACTGGGTGTGGAGCCTACTTAAAAAAAAAAAGAGAGAGACAAAGGATACTAAGCTTTAACTTCTCAGTTTGAAGCCTCCATCGCCAGTCCAAGCCCAGACCCCACTCTTGCTCTAAAATGGGCCTTAAATGAACCTGTTGGTTCTTACTCAAAGGAAATTGTAAATAGCCTTGTTAAAGAGGATCTGAATTCACAGTTTGGTCAAGATATGTCTTCAGCTTTTCAGATGCTTGTAAATTGAGGATTATTTACATCACTGAGCTGGAAACAGACTATTTCTCTGTTGGGGACCCAGGGTACAGGTCATTATAGTAGTACAGTTTGCCTTCTACTTTCATTTAAAACTGTTTAGAAACCTAAGAAATAAGTACTATTTTGTTGTTGATATGTGTATGTTGATATGTTTATGTTGATATGTTGGTATGCCATCTGAAGGCAATAATGAGGCTTTAAAAATCTATTTTTTAAAAGGTCCTTTTTATTTTATTGTTTTTTAAAGATTTTATTTATTTGGGAGAGAGAGAGAGAGAGACAGAGTGTGAGGGGGGGAGGGTCAGAGGGAGAAGCAGACTTCCCACTGAGCAGGGAGCCCAGTGCAGGGCTCGATCCCAGGACCCCAGGATCATGACCTGAACCGAAGGCAGATGCTTAACCGACTGAGCCACCCAGGCGCCCCTTATTACTATTTTTTTAAGTAATCTCTATACCCGACGTGGGGCTTGAACTTACGACTCCCACCAAGATCAAGAGTCCCATGCTCTTCCAACTGAGCCAGCCAGGTGCCCCATTAAAAATCTATTTAAACAATTATATGTACCATGACTTTTTCCCCAAGAATAATAGCATGGAAAATAATACAGGCAATAGTTTCTATATTATGGCATACTTAAGTCACTGGGGTACTCCATTTGGAAACTTGCCACTGTGAAAGCCCCTTGCATTTGAAGAACACTCATTTTTATTTATACGCTAAAAGCCTGAGTCTAAATTTTAAAAATACCTAATGTGATCTGAAGAGAAGTCTTTTCCATTATTGCTACTTTACAATTTTTATTCCTAATCTGTACTCAAGATTAAATGTTAGAAAATAATGAGGATTCATTTATTTTATGTCCAGATGGCTTATTGCCTACTAAAGTTTTCTGTACCTTATAATTCTGTTTTCTGAAGCATTTTTTGGAGCACAGCTGAATTCTTTCATCCATGTGATTATGTACTCATACTACGGGTTAGCTGCGTTTGGCCCGTGGATTCAGAAGTATCTTTGGTGGAAACGATACTTGACTATGTTGCAGCTGGTGAGTTAAATGCTTCTAAAGTTGCTTCTGGCGAAACACTGCAAATATTTGAATTTACTAATTTTAAGGGCTAAGTTATCCTCGACAATTTCCTGTTACAAAGTTGACTTTCTCTGTGCTCCAGCTGTGGGAGTTGAGTTTGCTTGGCTCTGAGCTTCTTGTTCATAGACCTAGTTGTCACTGCCACTAATTTTTTTAATGTTCTTAAAAGACTAAACACAACTCTTGTCTAAGAGAAATGTTCTTTAAAAATATCTGTGAAATGGATGAGTCAAGATCTAAGCACACCGTAAAGTACATAGACTCATATATGACCAGAAAAATAATGTAAATTCTCTGTCAGGTGATTTTTTTTAACTTAAAATGTTATTATTACCTCTCTTCATCCTGCTCTTGCTTGAATTTTGTTTTCTATTCTATTTTTGAGTCCTTGTTAACAGATCCCATACATTTAGGTTATAAAAGTTGAAGCGAAGGCACACAACCAAGGAAAGGGTGGGATAAAGGAAGGGGAGAAAGACAAGAGAACTCCTCTTAATTCTCTAACACACAGTCCTAGAGAGCAGAGCTAGGTATTCTCAAATCCTAGCCTTTAGAGCAGACAATTTTCAGCACATACCCCTCGTGGGACTTCTTGTAGCATCTGGGTACCTCAGTGAAACATTCAAGCAAGGTGCTAGCCCAGTCATCAAAGTGGAAATCCATACCAACCTGGTCGCTGTTCTTCAGGCCTTGGAATTTATTATAATTTGCTGTAATGATAGCATGTGCACAATTTATCAGTGGGATCACATTTGGAAATGCTATTCATCTCTGCTTTAAGTTGCTAAACAGCTGGCTGGCTGAACAGGAAACACAACTTTTGGGGAATGCTGGGTGGGAAAGATTCATTTGTAACTAAAATGCTACAGGAAACTTCCTCCAGTTTTTGTGCAAGCTGTTTATATAGTTGGTGTTAATTCATTTCTCTCCATAATTAGAAAATGGGCACAAGAAAATGAAGAGATGACAAAAGTCATCTGAACTCTTTATATCTAGTCCTCACTTGAGCCTCCTTGAGTGATGCCATACTTAATCACACATACATACATAACCCTTTTGGTGACTTAGGTTCTAAGAACCATTGTCAAATCAAAAGTTCTTAAAATCTGGATTTTGCCATGGAAAATTTAAAGTTTTTTAGTCTGATCTAAATTTGGGGCTTACATGGAATAAATGAATTTAATCATATTTAATATAATAAATAATATGGATAATGCTATGCTTAAAAGAAAAAACACAATTGCCCATTCCAAATAGGATGTTAGTTTCATGAAGAGTTGAATATTTCTAAGCCAGAAGTTCTCACAACAGTTAATCATGTAAGTTAATCTTGTAAAAAGTTAACCCTTGTTAACACTGTGGAATTCATAATTCTTATATTGAGAACCACTCATTTATTGATATATTGGAATTTCAACTGATTTGCCTTATCTGAATTACAAAGCATCTTAATTTTGGCTTTTCTTCTTTTAAAAACTTTTAAAGTTGAAAGTCTTTTTGCACTTGTTCTCAGATATCTACTGAATTTTACAAAAAATCTTAATTTGTAAAGGATAGTGTTAATTCATTTAGAGAGGGAGAGAGAGCGAGCACATGGGGTCAGGGGGTGGGTGGGAGGGTAGGAGAGGGAGAGAATCTCAAGCAGACTCTACACTGATCATGGAGCCCTTCACAGGGCTCAATCCCATGACCCATGAAATCATGACCTGAGCTGAAATCAAGAGTTGGATGCTTAACTGACTGAGCCTCCCAGGTGCCCCAAGGATAGTGTTAATTCAAATACAGTATTACCTGTGTGCTATTTTGTAAGAAATAAATAATGAACCCTTTCAATAGGTTCATTTTTAAAAGTATATGTACCATTCCGCTGATAGTTTTGTGGAAAAAAGTCAGTCTAAAATGTGGGAGGAAAACAAATATCAAAAAGAGTGTATGGTACTATTAGTTTATTCTCTTAGGCCATGGATATTCCCTCTCATTAATAACATCATTCAACATTATCCAACAAATACGCATTGAATCCAGACCCTCTGTCAAGGACTCCTCATGGAGCAACACAAAGCCATACCCTCTGAAGTTATATACTAGTGGGAAGATGGACAATCAAGAAGTTAAGAAGTCCAGATAGTTTTGTTATAAAGAAAAAAGCCCACACCAAACAAAAGCCCTCATTAATGGGATTGAGAACGCCAGCTGGATGGAGTTCCTTTGTCCTAGCTGGCAGAAAGCCCTTGCTGAGGGGATGACATCTGAGCTGCCACCTGATGGGTGAGAGGGAGCTGGAGTCTATTGAACTTTGGACAGTGTGGCAAGATTCGGGCCTATCTTAGCTAGATAGAAGATTCTGATGTTGTTAGAAGTTACTTATGATTCCTACATTGTTGTTTTGTTTTTCAGGTTCAGTTCCATGTGACCATTGGACACACAGCACTGTCTCTTTACACAGATTGTCCCTTCCCAAAATGGATGCACTGGGCCCTCATTGCCTATGCGATCAGCTTCATATTTCTCTTTCTTAACTTCTATGTTCGGACATACAAAGAGCCTAAGAAAGCAAAAACTGGAAAAACAGCTGTGAATGGTATTTCAGCAAATGGTGTGAGCAAATCAGAGAAACAATTAGAAAATGGAAAAAAGCAGAAAAATGGAAAAGCAAAAGGAGAGTAAATTGAACTGGGCCTTAACTGTTGCTGACAGTGAGGAAGTTCCCATTTCATATAAAATTTCAGGGAAAACAGAAGCAAATGAGGGTTTGGAGGTGGAGAGAAAAAGGCAAATGTGCTCTATGTCTTAGTAACCTTTAGATAGAGTAAAGTGTTAAATACAATGCCCGGATGTTTTATTTATGAAGTTTTATTTTAAACATTTTTTTTTATTAGCCTTGATGTTGTCCAGACCAAAGCAATCATTATGTGACTTTGGAGGCTCTCCCTCTGTTCACATCCATTTGTCTAAAGCATGAGATTTTTCATGTATCTTATATACATTCTTCAGTCAGATGATCACAGAAAGACAGTATGAATTTTTTGGCTAAATTAGTATTACCTACTGATTACAATCAGTTACCTTACATTTTCTGGTCCAAAGCTGGAACTGTAGATACTTTAAAATTTGCACATTTGAATTCATTTGCTGACTGGAATGGTCGAATCTCTCCACCTCTAGTCTTGAATATACCCTTTTGGTTGTAATTAAATTTAAAAAATCTAATGATCTCTGTAGACTCTTAGAGGCTTGATGATGATGGTGTTGGTGAAAATAAGAAAGAATTACAGTAAAATCCTGTTTAGCGACCCAAAGGTCACCATGACTTGTGGCACAAATCACTGTGGGAAACAATTTTTGTGATGAAAAGGCAGCCTTTCAATACTCCTATCAGAACTATATTATGAAAATTAAGATTATTGTCTGGAACATGAAACAACTCGTCTTTATTAGTAACATCATAAAAGAGCTACATTTATGTGCTGTTAGAAGAGAGTATGTTGATTTTTATCAGGCTTTCCTTGTTTTGATTTGTGGCTGTTACCGATTTTTCATATGTGGAAATATACCTACCTCTGTTGGAAAGAACATTTAAAATTAAATAAATTTTAATTAAAAAATCAAGGAGTCCTCTAATGTAAATTTTAATATTAACTTTCGAATCGGCTAGTATTTTTTTGCTTTTTTTTTTTTTTTTTTTTTAGATTTTATTTATTTTTTTTTTTACAAATAGCATACACCCAACTTTTCTGTGAAACTATCCTTCTCTTTCAATATGTTTAGTTTTGGAGTGATATTTTCCTTACGACAAAGTTGCAAGATCTTATTTATTAACTAGATATGAAGTGTAAACCCATTTTGGTGCAATATTCTTGACTCCTTGGTGCTAAAGATCATTAAATTTAGTGTGTGATTGTTACATGGTGTTCATTGTTAAGACACAAAATGAATAAAAGTAAGAGTAGTCAGAACCAGAAAATGAAGTTTACTATTTACAAATGAAGTGTTTCATGTAATATAAATGAACAACTGGAAATACACTAGCAAAGAGAACTTGTACATTGTCTTATTGCATAGGTTGAATTGTTAAGGGATGTTGACCAGGGATCATTACAGAAAGAGAAAATATGACCAAAAAAAAAAAAAGCATGAATATTTCTAAGTATCTCAACATGTCAAAACTGCATGTGCAGGATGTATGCTGTTTGTGCAGACAAACTATTTTAGAATATTTTGTAAACTATAAAATATTTATTGTGCATCAAAATTACACACTTTTTCCCCCAGAAGGCATGCAGTCATGAGATATACAGACTATTTGCAACACTTAACAATGGTTTGACCTGAAAGGATTCAACACCTTTGTCTTTGCTGCTCGGTGTGTAATGACTAGAGATTTGTAAATCTTTGTGAACATTCTGTACTGTTTCCCCAGACCTATTCATTCCCTGCTACCTGATTTCAGCACAATAAATATACAACTGCTGTGGGAAAAAATGATTTTTTTTTGTTAATCAATTTATTATGTAAATTATCTGCTAGATGTTTATTTGATTCAGTTGTTAATATTCAAAATTCTTTTCTGCTGCCAATTTCTACTGTAGAGAAAAAGTGAAACTAGAATATTCCTGGAGAAAAGCTTATTTTTTTTTTATGGTGGCATATTTTTACTTTAAAAATTAGTTGCCTTTGGAAGAACTTTTGGATCCAGACATAAAACATATAATTTTCTTCTAAACTACTCTTGCATTTGTCATTTCAAATGTAAGCTTTAACATTTTTTAATGCTGTGGGTTTTTTTGGTTCCAAAAATAAAGTGGAGGAGCCCTTATGTTCTTACATTAGATCATTCAGCTCTTATTACAATTTTTAAGGTTCTTTATCTAAGATGACTCTAAGCTGTGATATGCAGCCTGTTCTGGTAGCTTTCATAATTTCTCAGTCATCACACTAAGTTGCATACCTCATACTAAAAATCAGTGGAGGAGGACTGCATCCTTTTTTTGGTAAAACTTTGTCAGTAACTAAAGAAATGTTTTCTTACACAGAAAACAAGGAATTTATTAAATATTTGCAATGGCTAGAAATACCTTAGGCATGTACAGTGCATTTTCCAGTAGAATCATCAATGACTGTATCTCTTCTTTGTTTTCTGTGTTACTCTTGACTTTGTTTTGCTGATGGACACTGACTAATGACTGGTTTCAGTTTTAGCATTATTAATTTAGTCATTCTCTTTTTCTCTCTTTCCGCACACTTCTGGGGTATTCAAAAATATTTTCATATGGATTTTTATATTCACATTCTAGAACCTAGAATCTAGTGTTTTGTAGTTTATTAGGAATGTTTTAATTTACACATTTGTTCCATATATGCAAGTCAGTTATCCTTTAAGTAAGAAAGAGAAGTGGGGTGGAAGTGATTTTTCCTGCCCTACCCATCTGATAATACAACAGTCCAGGCATTACATACATACTGATGATTGGGACCTTTGTGAGAATGTGACATCATGCTGAGCTGCCCTGCTCTCTCAGCTCATGTCTTGTCTTAGCCTAAAGCTCAGCCAGCTGAATTCCTGACACTGTCCTTATTGAGAAAAAGATGGCCACAGATTATGTAGGAGCTCAAGTGGAGTGAGTGCTAAGTACAGACCTGACTGAGGTAGATTTGGAATCCTGCTGGATGGTAGGGCTGCGGGGCTGAGGTGCTGAGCTACACACACAGGAACATAACACCTGCTTCCTGATACTGGTCACCTGCCCTCTCAGCATGCAAGCAATTTTGACAAGTCACCTTGGAAAGCAAGTCCTTAATAGTATATTCTAGAATCCATGCTTAATCTTAGGTATTTTAGGCAGATGCCATCTGAACCCGAAAAACAGTTATGAAGAGGCAGAGAAATATAAACAGATTCATTGTTTCAAAACACAAAAAAATCATGTAAGTATTAGAAGTTGGTTTTCCTAATTCTCTCCCGAACTTCCTAATTTCCGTCCTAAATTATGGAAGGCAGGCACAGCTGCGAATTGAAAGGCATACATTTTTTTTTTCCAAGTTTTAAAAATAGGAGGATGTAACATGACTACATTCCTGAAGGGGATTCAGATGTATAAGTTAAAAATTATAATTGACATATAGAGCCACTCAGATGAAGACTGAGATTCTAGAATATGTTGTTAAAAGAGCATGTGAATTACGAAGAAGGTGGTCAGTAGCTGTCTTTAGATGATGATTAATTAGTAGGAATTTTAAGTTTGTAAGGGATGATCTGAGATACACCTTGGTGTTCTTTTAGACTTATAGCTCTAGGTTTTGCTGTATCCTTTGAGAAATTAAACCTTTTTCTTTCCTTTTTTTTTTAAAGATTTTATTTATTTATTTGCAAGAGAGAGAGTGCGTACGTACAAGCAGGGAGAGGGACAGGCAAGGGAGCAGCAGGCAGAGGGAGAAGCAGGCTCCCTGCTGGGCAGGGAGCCCGATGCAGGACTTGATTCCAGGACCCTAGGATCATGACCTGAGCCCAAGGCAGACGCTTAACCTACTGAGCCACCCAGGCATCCCTAAACTTTTTTCTACCTGTTAAGAAAAAAAGACCTAGAACTTAGGTCTCCTTTTCTCTTTGTATTTTTCATTTCACCACAAGAAGGCATGTTTACATGTCCACATGTGAACAGATTTCCTTCATACTTTCATTCCTTGGAGATCCATCCTGTCTTAAATAGAAATTCAACAGAATTTTTTCTCCTTTTTCTTTTTTTCTTTTTTTTAAAGATTTTATTTATTTATTTGAGAGAGAGACATAGTGAGAGCAGGAACACAAGCAGGGGGAGTGGGAGAGGGAGAAGCAGGCTTCCCGCGGAGCAGGGAGCCCGATGTGGGACTCGATCCCAGGACCCTGGGATCATGACCTGAGCCGAAGACAGACACTTAACAACTGAGCCACCCAGGTGCCCCCTTTTCTTACTCTCATAGGTGAGGCTCTCCCAGGGCTTGTGTCCTTAAAGTAGTATCTCCTTTGAGAATAAATACATGCTGAAACACATCACTTGATATCTATCTACCTAATTATAATAATCTAATGCAGCTATCAGAAGGTCACATTGTAATTGAACATCTACACAAAGAATATGTCCAAATTAAAAGCCATTCTAACACTAAAAAATCTTGGAAGGTTTAAGTGATACAGCCATTTCTAAAAAGAGTGTGGAAATTATTGGGTATTTCCCAATTTAAATATAAGACTGAGAGTTGTAAAGAGAATTTGTCAGTCCACATACATATTCCATATACTCTGTCAGTCTCCAGGAATCCCTGGATCCTTTTTCTGCAATTTGAGAGAAGCTAGTTAGGTTGCTCTTTTCCTCAGTTTTAAAATTTTTCTTTGAATTTGCCTTTGGGAAAGAGGAAAGCACCCAGTTGAAATTCCTTCCTTGTCATCCCTGATGCATCATATTTAAACTGAGTTTCTCCTCCCTGTGAGGAAGCTGTCCTAAGAACCAGTCTTTCAAGAATACTGATTACCTAGCTATTTGGTAATGAGAGGGTGGTAGATTATGCGTCTCACACAGCAGGTAGCATTATGTTAGTGACACTCACACCTCACCTTTGAAAGTGGCTTGTGTTCTAATTTTGTTAATAAATCTGGGAATCAAATACAACATTTACATTTTTATAAGCATATTATATACTTACGGCTTATCAGCTGTACACGTACAGTTGGATTTTAAATATTTTTTTAGTTCAGACCTCATAGTGAAAATTTAATATAGATGTTACATGGTCACAAAAGAATGAATAGCTGCTCTTAAAAGCTGTGTTCATTCACCAACATTTAAGTGTTTTCATTATGCTTGAATTATTACTGATGGCCCATGTAAAAGGGGGGTCTGGTCGTTTTTTCCAGAAAGAAAAGGAGTATGGGAGCCTGTGAGACAAAAAGAATAGACAGATGAGTTTGGGGAACACATTTCTAATTTATAATTAGAGTTGAGATTTGGAGTCTACATACTAGAGTCTACCCTAAATATTAACTGCTTCAGAAAGCCAGCACCAACTTTAGATTAACGTGCTAGATGTTTATTGGTTCTATGAATCCATCTCTATCTCCTCAATATGTCTCCCTTCTTCCCTCCACCAGTGTTACAGAGTCTAAAGAACTAAAAATTACATTTCTCAGATTCCCTCACAAATTTAGGTTTTGTCAACATGAGGCACTTGTGAAATTTTTGGAAGGCATAAGGGAGGTGGATGCCATCCTTCTGTAGTAACGCAATTATATAAATGGGCTCCTTACAGACATAAGTGTTGGCAGCAGCTGAATTACGTGATCCACTATTTTTTTTTATTCTTATGTTAATCCCCTACATTACATCATTAGTTTTAGATGTAGTGTTCCATGATTCATTGTTTGTGCATAACACCCAGTGCTCCATGCAGAATGTGCCCTCCTCAAT